AAAAGCCAACTTGAAAATTATGGAATCAAGAGATTTACACTGGCAACTAGTTTTTGTAGACAATTAAAAAATAAGCATGGTGGAGGAACAGACATTAATAACTTAAGTGTGTGTGTGTGTGTGTGTGAGGTGCAAAATGAAAATAAAAGAATACTCATTGTGTCTCAATATAGGCCCTCCTAATGGTAGTGTGTGGTGTGTAAGGTTCACCATTTCTAGTCAAACTCGTATAACAACTACCAAAACTAACTAAACTAACCAAAACTAGTACCTGTATTGATAATATATTAACAGATTTCGAGTGCAACATGACTCACCAAGTTTTACATACATTGATTTCAGATCACACTGCTTAGAAGTTAGTATTATACACTAAAATACAGACACTTGACTATGTAAAAAAAAGAAATTTTAATACAGCCAATAAAATAAAATTTAAAACAGCATTGTAAGAAATAAATTGTCAAATACTGTATATACTAGATGCCACTAATTAGTGGTCGACTTCTGTGAATTATTTCCTCTTTCTAAAGTGCCTTATAGAACCTTTAATAAACCTAAATTCATAAAACACCCTGAAATCCATGAATGTAAAAGGCAATTGGATTCTTTTCGTGATGCAAAATGTAAATACGAGATATAAGGAGCTCTACAAAACAGAAAAGAAGGATTTTGATAGCCTTCTATAAAAATATAAAAAACAGAATTATGGGGATAGATTAAAAAACTCAGATAACAAAAACAAATGTCGATAGTAAATGGAATTAAAGGAAAACATAGTAATAAAGAAAAATTGAAGATAATATAGAGATTTTAGAAAATAATTTTAATGAATTCTTAATTTCTGTGGCTCCAAACTTGTTAAATAAATTAAAAAATATAACTTTTAGTTCGAATCTTGAATTTAATCAAACCGCAATAGTTCTACAACTACTGGATGAAAAAAAAATTGGGATATAGCAAAAAATTGAAGAATAAGTTTAGTTTGTTCATTGCTAATTATAATAAACAACTCGCTTAGCTTTTGAATATTTCCAGATCAACTTAAACTTGCCTTGGTTGTCCCAATGTTTAAAAAACGTTTTCAGAACGACATGCAAAATTATCACCCAATGAGTCTGCTCCCATCATTCCCTAAAATTGTCGAAAATGTGCCATCGAATGGTCGATAATAATAATATAAATAAAATAATATATATAAGTAAAATAAATAACAATATAAATAAAATATAATAAACTAAATAATATACAGCATGGATGCTTAACAGGCAGGACAACTCAAAAAGCGGTATTTACCTTTGATTTACTTGATGTTGAAAATGGTGACTCCCCCTTTTGTCAAAAGCGCATGATACTGTACACATGCATGGAATAAGAGAAGTGGCTTTAAGCTGGGTGGAATCGTACCTTTCAAAAAGAAAGCGGCAAGTTGTAATGGACAAGGGTGAAAATCGGATACTATCAAAAAGTAACAATATTGCAGCAGATATACCGCAGGGCAGTGTAATAGGACCAATATTTTTTTTTATATTAGCAATATTACAGAATTGTATGCAATTAGTAAAAATCGTAAAATCACCAACTACGCTACTACTACAATGGTACCAATGTTCTAATTATAAATAAGGATACTGCCAAGCTCAAAAAGGAGACTAGAGAGATTCATGACTAAGTATAAATTAGTTATGAATAATGCTAAGACTTCTGTAACAATGTTTTGTTATTTTTAAACCTGTTAGTACTTTTCTCAACTTAAACAATTTAGCGACATATGTAGGCCACGCCATCTCACTCCCCACCACTAGAGTGTTCTAGAGTTATATCTTTGCGCAGTAAAGAACTACTGCTACCTGCTCAGTCGGTCAAGATACAAACACATTGACAAGTCAGAGAGCGATTTTTTACTAGTTAGTTGCTGACAAGATCACCATTTATCATTAATCAGCGATATATCAAGGTATTCAAGTATTTTACAACTATTATTGTCTGTGTCCCTTCAGATGGCAGCAAACAGAAAAAGAACACACTAAGACGAATTCCTTAATTACAGTTTTACACAAATAGAAGACAATGGTACAATGGAACCACAGTGTGTTGTATGTATGAAGGTACTGACTTCAGAATCTTTCAAAAAAGTCAGTAGAAGAAACATCTAGATAATTTGTATTCACACCTGTCTTCTAAACCGCGAGAATACTTTGTAAATTTAGAAATATCTGTTAAAAGACAAAGATTTAACAGCAACTTGTTTGGTACATTTGATCAACGTTCAACATCAAGGGCTAGCTTTGAAGGAGCTTGGCATACATATACTAATCATGAAGATTTATGTCAGAGATAATGTGTGGTCAAAGAGAAGCGAAAAAACTCAATTCAGTGCCCTTATTTGGCAAAATATCTTGCTATTCAGCTTGATGAGACAACTGATTTTAGTAGCAGATAATTTTGAAGAGGAATTGCTGTTTTGTTCTCCTCTCTGGTTGAGATCTCGTGAAATGTCTACAATAAAGTAAATGAATACTTCAATGATGTATTTTTGTATCTTTGGATGGAGCTCCAGCTATATCGTGTATGGACTGTCAAAACTGAAGTCGGAATTTTTATGGTAGATCAAAAAAATATTCTCGCAGATTCGTATAAAAACTTTTCCCGGGTTGCATATTTAGCGAACATTTTTGAAAGTTTAAATAACATAGTTTAAAATTTAGAAATCACAGTTACGGAACACGGTGGCAACAAAATTTGAACATAGCTGTCGGAAAAACTAACAAACGTAATACACAAAAAAAACTTTATTTTCCTATCGCGAAAATTAGTCAACTATATGCCGTCAGCCCAAAAGCAACTTCTAATTACCAATGATCGGAAACATATCTTTAAAATAAAAATAAATAAAATCATTGCACAAGTGAACAGAAACGAAATACGAGAATTGATTTGACTCTTCCATTCTCTCAATTAAAGACTTTGTTATGTATATATCTGTGTCTTATATTGTGTATATAGAGAGGGGTTTCGTGTATTTTAGCTGGGTATAAGATAAGTATGTTACCGATTTTTAGAGTGGATAGTATTTACTAATGTTGATGATTATTTTCTGTTTATTGATTTTTATTTTATTTTAGAGGTCCTGCATTTTGTGCAAATTTTGCGAGAGCCCACCCACGCACGACTGCGGTCTTAGTGGAACTAGGGTGATTGTTGATTTGCGGAAAGTCATGGACAAGCAAAAAAAAAAACAGAACAGGATTGCTTATTTTTCAAGGTTAGCTTGAGCTAGTTACTTTTGCTGCCATCAAGGATACAATATTGTTAGACACCTTATCAAACTCAGAAAGCGGTTTTCAGATTACTTTCCAGATCTTCATGCACGTACTGTCAGTTTGATTGCAGATCATTTTCAATGTGAAATTGCTATGATACCTTCAGGTTTGGCAGAAGCAATTCTTGAATTTCGATCTAATACTGAAGCACGTATTCAATTTGAGAGTAAACCAAATCTGTCGTCTTTTTGGATGTCAAAAGCTGCAAAGACTTTCAAAATTGCACATGAGGAGGCGGTTTAAAAATTGTTGCCATTTGGAACAACATATTTGTTACAGTACTCCAAATTGTCAACCCTCAATTGTACCCCAATGGGTTTCAATTTGTTATATACATTTGAGGAGAAAAAAATCACCCCCACAGAAAATGTAAGTAAATGATAATTTCTTGTTAATTTGTAAATCATATGATATTTTTCTTGTATTATTATATAGACGAAAAAGCTAGTTTAAATTTTATATATAAAAAATATTTTTTAATTTAAATGATTTTTTTCGTGAAAAAATTGATTTTGGGGTAATGATTAAAAAAGGTCCCCGAACGCTGTCTTAGGGTATTAGGTAGGTATATTTAATAGGAAACGAAAAAAATGCTTTATCACACAGGGTGGTTTAACTTTAACTAAATTTACCCAAATGTTGGCGAAGCTTCTGGCCGTCGTGTCCCTCTCTCCCTTATTTATATTGTTATATACAGTAATTATAATTACAATAACGAAAACAAAATTTTGGTTAATTTTTGAGGTGGGCCTCTTTGCCCCACCCGCCCCTACAGCAGAAGAACCATCGATTACACATATCCCAGGCACAGACTGACTATGAACGAGAAGGGTGCGTATTATCATTTTATTAGATGTTATAATAATTTGCCGAACAGCTTAAAAACAAAAACAAACAAACAATTTTTAATTTACTCGTAGAAATAGAACTGTATAGTGAGGAAGAATACTATAGATTTATTCAAAACATTATTATGCTTTGAAATAAATTATATTATATTATTATTATCAAATTATTATTATTATTATTATTATTATTATTATTATTATTATTATTATTATTATTATTTGATTTCTACAAATATAATATCGACTTGCTTTTTACCCTAAACAATAATAATGTTAATTAATGCACTGTAAACAAGTATCACATTCCATAACAACTGTCAAATAAGAATTTACCGAACAGCTTAAAAAAACAAAATCAAACAAACAATTTTTAATTTACTCGTAGAAATAGAACTGTATAGTGTGGAAGAATAATATGGATTTATTCAAAACATATATTATGCTTTGAAATAAATTATATTATTATTATTATTATCAAATTATTATTATTATTATTATTTGGTTTCTACAAATATAATAGCGATTTGCTTTTTACCCTAAACAATAATGCTAATTAATGCACTGTAAATAAGTATCACATTCCATAACAACTGTCAAATTCAATTTTTTTGCTCCGCGTGACTTCATGCGCGCGCGCAGTAAGAATTTAAACCGAGGACCTGTCACATCTTAATTTGTTGTATCGTGCGTCGATTGTGGGTATCATTTTCGAAACAACGCACACCCTCTCCACGCGTAGCTCCGTCGTTTTCGTGCGAAAAACAAAGCAGCCAAGCAGAAAGATAAGCCAAACTCGAGTGCCCCGAATTATTAACATGCGTCTACTTACTCTTGACAGCATTTGCACATTTTCGCTGCCGGTACGATGCGACATCTATCTACTGGTCTGTTGGGTCTCTGACGACCATTCACACGCCTTTAAATTTAATCGCGATTACCTGAGATAAGATATACTTTTAATCAAATTATTAAAGGAACAATGACAACGCTAATCAGAAACGCGACAAGATATCGCGAAGGTTCGAACTTCTGGGCGTCGGATGATGTAAATATATCGCGCGTTACTTCCACTAAGGGGTATTTTAAGACGTCGTTTCAGTGCGTCTTTTTTTTGCGAGTTGTAACGAACCGACCATACAGAAATGGCGCATGTCTGATCCGGCCAGGAAGCTGATAATTGCACCGTTAAGCTTTTAATTACGGGCGGTTTTGTTTTTAAATTGCCCGAGTTTGTGTTGTATTGTTCGGTCGGGCGTAGGAAGGTCGTTAGCGATACGGGCACGCGAGTATATTAAAAAATAATTATTCACGATACCGCGATAGAACCACTCGTAACGATACCATTAAAGGTGGAAAGTAAATAAACTATTCCGATAAGGCAATGCCACTCGGCCGGTAGATTGCTGTTTAAATTACTTTCGTGTATTCCGCTACGGCGTGAATTGCGCTCCTGTTGGGAAGAAAATTTCGGTACCGCACTGGTTTGGATCCACCTGACAGGCCGGCGCCTACTTGATGATAAAAAATGACGTCCGTTAGCCGATGGCTTGGAAGAATTTCGGTTATATTTTGGATAGAACAGATTTAAATATAACAACTAAAAGTTGACATTTTCACAAAATTATATATTTTGACATGGCAATTGTTTCGACAACACCGTGTCTTTATCAAATGTAATATTTACAAACTACCTACTAATATATATACCGAAAAATGATAACAAAACCTTAGTTAATGTTGTGAGAATTTAAGTGCATTAAAGGAGAGGTATTTAAATCTAATTGATCATCATATCAAAGACGAGTCAAGGATGTAATTACTAAAATCACACTATTTAGTGACAAAGACAAGTATTTTTTAACAATTATGAATCCACAACCGCCGAAATTATATTCCTTAGTTAAATTACAAGAAAAACAAGATATGCCCATTAGACCAGTCGTGTCTTATGTAACAGCTCCAGCAGTTAAGCTCTCAACAAAATTAGTAAATATTTTAAAGTTCCACACAGATTTTAAACCAAAATTTGCAATAAAAAAATCTTTTGAATTACTGAACAAAATTAAAGATATGAAAATCCCTTCTAACGCAACACTATTGTCTTTTGATGTACCAAAACTTATTTCCCAGTATTCCACCTATGGATCCCTTCCTCGGACCAGGGAGCTGCTTAGACTGACCAGGAGGGAGTGTAGAGCACTAACAGGGGCCTACACAGGACATTGCAGGCTTAGGAGGCATCTCTGCTTGCTAGGCATTGGAGACGACCCGGAGCGTAGGTGGTGCATGGAAGGGGAGGAGACCCCGTATCATCTGCTCACCGAGTGCAAGATTGGGAGTCTTCGGAACGGCCCTGATCGATCCGGACTCAGTGCACGGTATTGGGCTAAAGGAGTTGCTGACCTTCTACAGAAGGGGCGGCATTCTGGACGCCCTCTAGAGCGGCCTGGGGGCACAACGGGCCCATCTGGTGGCCTAAGTGCTTGGACGCCCGCGAGGGCGCCCCCCTTTAATACCAATACCAATAATACCAATACCACCTATGGATGTGATAGATTTAGCAGATTTCACCCTCACTCGGAAACAGGTCAATCCACCGCAGTTCAAGATTTAAATATGCCTGAACATATGGCTTACATATGGAACATATGGAACTTATGGCTGATGTTTTTTTTTTAATTATTGCATTTATTTATTTATCTTATCTTGAAATACAATGTCACATATGCATGTTACAATTCATTAGAGGGCACCTAGCTGACTTAATAGCCGTATGTCCCAAAAAAGTCCTACGAAAAAATTTATGTATAGGGTGTTTGGGTACATTTTAAAACGAAAACTTGATTTGAACATATGTCCAAAATGTCTTAAGTTTTGACAGAGAGGGTGGTAAAGTTTAAACAAAATTTTTTTTTAATATCTCTAATACCATTTTAGATATTGTAATGAAATTTGGCACACATGTACTATGTATGGAGAGGCATTATTTAGTGTACCAAATTTTTTTAAATACACCAGTGGCGGGCGTACGGAACTTCATATTTCTATTTTGGCAGTGATTGATCGTAGGCCACTGATTTCTCTTAAAATGAAAATTATTCTTACAATGTGTAACTATATTAGTTGGTATTAAGTAATCTAAATCTTGGGCAATAATTATTATTATTATTATTATCATTATTATTATTTTTTTCGTTTTAAAACATTCTCTTCATTCTCATCTCTTCTCATCTCTTCTCTGCATCATCGTAACAATATCGTTAAAACATGATAAAATAATAGAAGGTTGACTGAAACAGGTGCTTTGAGGGCAAATAATCATTTGAAAGGGGTCCATTGGTATGTAAGAAATAAGTTATTTAAAAAGCAATTTTAAATTCTATTGATGAAGATCCAGAACGTAGTATTAGAAAAATTGGAAATAATCTGAATATCTCGCACGTCTTAGTTTGGAAAATTTTGCACGATTTTCTACTGTACCCATACCATTTTCAACGAGTTTTTGGAAATTACTTAATTGCCCCAAGGCTAACCCGCCGGTTTTTAGAAGAGTATTTGCCAATATTGCCAGAAGAAGTACCATATTTAATTAGGAAGAGAATGTATGACGGCGGACCTACTCACTCTAGTGTTGCAGTAAAATAAATTATCCCCTAAGTCCCCAGATTTTAATACTTTTGACTTTTTCTTATGTTGCATCTTAAAAATTTGGTTTATCGCACCGCAGTTAACACTGTAGAAGAGTTGAAGGATCGTATAAGACCTTCCTACGATTTAATAAGAAACACCAGAGATATACTTCAAAGAGTGGAGGACACTTTCAAAAACTTATTTAGTTTCTATGTCCTGCATTTTTTTTCAAAAGGGTTGTTATTGATTTATTAACAGACAATTTTGCTAAAAATTATTAATAGCATTCAGCGTTTTTTGTGTTATTTCATTAAAAGTGCAAAAGTAAACAAGAACAGTCAAAAGTGAAGACATTTAAGAGATATGTTCATATGAAGTTTTCTTTTTAAGATGCAACTAAAAATCGCCTCCTAATTATTGACATTCAATTAGAAAACACCCTGTATATAATATGAGTTGAGGTTGGTCAGTAATGGCAAATTTTTTTAAAAAATGTTATTCAATGTTTCGATCAAAATGTAAATCTTTATCAAGAATCAAAAATACGTACGAATATCAAATAAATTAAACATTTTATATAAAAATATTTACATAATTTAGTGATGTTTTGTTTCGCAACCGATTCCGAGTCTAAAGCTGGGAACTGCATCCGATGCTAGATATTTTAGAACAAATTCACTCATCGATGACATTCGCAAATTCGTAATATAAATTCTATACGTTCAAACTGTTATCTTAACCAATTAGCCACGGACAAGTGGCGATGAACAAAGCAATGAGACGTTTTGTTTAACGTACACGTTAGATTGCGAGAATTAGCAGGTTTATAACATTTAACTTTCGATTCAAGCATTCAACAAAAGAAAAAAAATTGAAAATATTTGAAAATATTCGAAAAAAGAAAGAATAAAATTCTAAATGGATAAGGCATTCGCGTAGTTTTGCTTATAACAATATAACTTAACTTCCGGGCCACAAAAATTATTTTTCCCTATAAATTTACATACCAAAAGCATTTGTTTCCATCCCTGAATAATTTTTTTTTGAACGAAAAATAAATACAACTACGAAAAATACATTTATTGAATACCTATGATGTGTTATGCGCCACCGATTTTTGTGATTTCTAAACTTTTGACACATGTCTATTTCGTTTTGATTTTTTAGCCAAGTTTACAGGGTGTTGCAAAATACATGCGCCAACGTTCTATTGAAAAATTAAATAAAACACTGGGGTTCCATAAGAAACAACCCGAGGGGTAAACAAATACTAGAGGAAAGCAACTTCAATATGTCGATAGCCAGACGTAGAAAAATCTGTCTCAGTATAAAAACATTCTTCAAAGAAATGATTACCGATACGCTTTCTACGCAAAAACAAAATTTTCACAGATGCAAATTTTTCACGCCAAGCATGAAGACGTTATTTGAATTGGAGCCATATCATAGGATTAGATAATTGTTATAGGCGATATTATATTCATTCATAATTGTGACTAAATGTTTGAAATACTTTCATTCATACATACATGTACTCTTCTACTGAGTACATCTCTTTGAATGCACATAAATTATTACACATTTTTATCTCTTTCGTCAAAAGGTTAAAAAATCGCTGAAAGTCGGGATTCTGTAAGAAAGAACTATTATATTTTGCATAAGAAGCTTTAAAGTCGTTAGTTCTTGTATTGACTGAATGAAAATGACTGCGCAACATAAAACCTGATGTATTTTGAAACACATAAACACACATTTCAAACACATATAGAATACACCATATTAAGATATTAATTTTTGTCAAAATAGGTTTTACAGGAAGTAGATTTGGAAAAACTTTTCCTGAACCAAAAAGACATTAATCTTTTATGCTCTTTTGATAAACGTGCAAATTGACTTTCTTGCGAATAATGAATTATTTATTTGATATTCATGCTCCATTAAAAACAGTTAGAATTAAGAGACCTGCAGGCCTTTGACTTACCGAAAACGTTAAATTTTGAATAAAACTTAAAAATTGGTCATGTTTAAGATACAAAAAGATAAAATACTTTGAGGAGATTTCAAGTTTTGGCCAAATTAACAGTTTTATTGTTGCTTTTGCTTCTTTTGAAGCTGTTGGTAGTATTGACCTGGGTTTGTGTTTGCGAATTATAGTAATAAACAATTTGGTACTAATTCATTCCGTTTTGCTAAAATTTACCTTGAGGAAGTTACTAAAACTTTAATTAATATTAAAGCTGACGCTCATAACTTAGACGATATTGATATAAAAATGATTCTTTTGACTACTCCGTATTTAGTCGATCTTGGAAGCAAGCTGAAGTTATACGCGTTTCAAAGAAAGAATGAGTGGCACTAACGATATTAGAGCAATCAGTTTGTTGCCAACCATCTCAAAGGTCGTTGTAAAAATTGCAGCTAAACAACTTCGTCAGTTCGATAACAAAATCCTCCCAGACACTCAAGCTGGTTTTCGACCTCTTCACAGCACTACTTCTGCCTTGATTCATGTTACTGAGGATTTATTGATAGCAGCTGATTCTATATTAAACTCTTGTCTCATACTCTTGGATTATAGCAAAGAGGATCATTTCCTTCTCTTAGCTAAACTGAGATACTTCGGGTCGAAAAGGTTCTCTTTTATTTAAAAAAAAAATTCTGAGAGATATCAAAGAGTAATTTGAGGAGATCCTGTGTTGCCCAGAGGATATTCTGAGATTTATTCTGTTCTCCGTTTATACAGCTGACTTCTCTACTCTTCTTAAAGTTTGCAATGATGATACCCAATCAATTTGCAGATATATTATTATTGGACAATAAAAGGGAAGAAATTGTAAGATTACGCTAAATGATGAGATTATCTCTCCTTCGGACGGATGTAAAAGTTTAGGGTTATGGTTTGACGGTGACTTGCGGTTTTCTAAGCATGCTGATTCGGTGTTACAAAAATCGTTCTATAAGCATAATATATTCATGAATATGTTCCCAGTAAGGAAAAACTTCACACAAAAGTCGCTTGTTTTAGTTATAACGCAGTTAAAATTTTTAATGTGATACCTAATGTTATAACATCCTTCCCCACAATAGAGTCCTTCAAAAAAAGCGTTAATATTGTTTATTTGCGTATGTCACCACTCTTGTATTATAACTTATATTGTAATATTTTTATTTTAACAAGGACAGTTTGTTATTATTATTATTATTATTTTTTTTTTAATTGACGCAGGTAAGTACGGGCCAAGATTCCAATGTCGGTGATGTGTGTCACAAAACACTGGAGTTTTTCATCTATTGTGATTTTTTGGTTTAACACCTTTCGCATTATGTTGCAGGTTGATAGGATGACTGTTTTCTGCAGTGCGACGGCTTCCAGATTCCGTGCCAGCGTCGTTGGGATTTGCCTCGTCGCTCCAATTAAAATGGGCCGCTGAGTTTGTAGCAAATCTCGATGTGTATTATTTTTGCAACATTGTTGTGCCTGGTCGTATACTCGTGCGGTGCCATTATTTTGCATCCACTAAGAAGGTATTCTATGTTTTCGTGACCTCCACCACACATACGATATCTTGTGTCGGTTATTCTTTCGTCCTAAATGATGTATTTCAGGTAAGATTTTGATCTTGTATTGCACATATGTTGGAAATATGTTGCTTGATGTCAGCCATTTCATCGTAGCTGGAGCGTCGATATATTCGCTGCTAAGGAGGTGGGGGCATCTGCCATGTAATTCTTTCTTTCTACACCTGTTTTGAAGGGTGGCGATATGTAATCTCTGTCACATCTGTATTCTCTATTTTTAAGGTAGAGTGGCGATGGGCTTCCATCGATTTTGATAACAGCTCTAGGCAGCGCCGAGGACGTCTCTTTACCATAGAAATACTGTCTGAGTAATTCCACCTGGCTCTTGTGACGGAGGCGTATCCGCCCATCGCTCTGGGCAAGCGGAATCTCTCAATGCAAGCTTTGGGGTGATGTTTGTGGTGTTTTGTGAAACACACTTTTGTCATGCGATTGAGTTCATGCAGGTCGGTTAGGGTCCACTGCACAACACCAAACATGTACGCAACAACTGGGAAAGCATAAGTATTTATAGCTGTGATTGTATTGTGAAGCGAAAGCTTAGTTCTCAGAATTGATGCGGCTCAATGCTTGAATTTTTTTACCAACTGCCGCTTTACTTCGTCCGTTGCAATTCTTCACACAAACTCCCTTAACCGTCAATATACAAGAGAAAAAGTGCTGGTCCCATTACAGATCCTTGCGGTACCCCAATTGTTACCATGGATGACTTCGACTTAATTTCAGTGCGTACACCATCTGCTTTATAAATTTGGCTAACATATTGTTTCCTATAAGATACGAAAGTCTCCGAAAATTACCATTGGAAGACATTTTCTATAACATCAAGTCGTGACCTATCCAATCGAATGACATTCTGAGGTCACAGAAGACCTCAACAAAATACTCACCGGATTCTATAGAATTTTGAATATTTTCCCAGAATAAAGTAGCTGCTTGTATGGAGGATCTACCATTTCGAGAACCGAACTGGTTATCGGATAGTATTTGATTGTTTAAAAGTCGTTGCAAATATCCTCCCCAAAAGAGCAACTTTTGCCCAGTAGGTAAATGGTTTTATAATGAACATTCACAGGCGCTTGAAGAAAAAAGTCGGGATTTATGATTTTTAATAAGTAAACTGTACAGCTCCTCTTCAAGGAAAGGCGGTAAAAAGATAGTATAACATTTTAAGCTTCGGCAAATTGGAGTTTTTTTTGGCCTTGTTATTTTCGAACAATCGTTGAAATCGAATTTTTCGAAGGTATATGCGCTTGACAAGGAAACATATCTCGGCAACGGAGCGCCGTACAGCGTCGCCGTTGGTACAGATGGAATCAGCGTCGAAAAAAAACCTTTTAATTTTTTTGTCTGTTTGACCGTTTGTCTGTTCTCTGTTCTCCGCTTCTCTTTCGAACGGTTAGCAGTAAGTAAGCAGTCCATAAGACACATTAGCCAATAAAAAATGGCCGTGATAGGATCTCGGCGACCATCTTATTTTTTCTTATTTTTTGGACATTCCTATGAAACACGATAAGCTTTAAAATTTGAAGCTATCGACTTTAAATTTAGCAGGCAAATAGCGTTTGGTCTTGGTTGGAACTTATTCAAATTGGGGGGTCGGAGGGTCGGGAAGTATTTAAAAAAAATAAAAAATCGCGTTTGCAAGGGTCTAAGGTTTCTGTCTCTCTCTCTCTCTCTCTCTCTCTCTCTCTCTCTCTCTCTCTCTCTCTCTCTCTCTCCCTCCCT